TCAACTCGACTCAACTCGACTACTCGACTCTATGCTAAGACTCGACTCGGTAGGATGTCACAAGGAGGAAGCCAATAAAGAGAAAGCAAGCACCAGCAAAGAGGAGGAGGACCCTGCTAAATAAGTTCTGAAAGCAATAAAGGCATGTATCGAGGAAAGCTTTGAAGAAGCTGAAGCCTCTTCTGACGTGACTATTTCTGATAAAGATGAATCTGATTGTAACGAACTATCTATGCTTTTCAATGAAATGAACTTTAATTTTCCTTACTTGTTTGATGTCTCTCCTGATGGTTTCATTCATCAAGTAGATAAGTACATGCACATACTTGACATTAACTCATCATGCATGCTTGAATTTAATATTGGCACAAAAGATAATCCACGAATTTTTTTGATTGGGCCAAACCTAATGCTAGAGTTAAACAAATTTCAAAGTCTACTCATGGACAAAAAGGAAGCATTCGCATGGAGCTATAAAGATATGCCAGGGATAGACATGTCTATACCCATGCACACAATTCCTGTATATCCTGGAGCTAAGCCAGTGAAATGGAAGAGAAGAAGATTAAGACCAAAATGGGCCGAGAAAATTAAAGAGGAAGTGACCAAGCAAATAGACGTAAGATTTCTAGAAGTGGTTCACTATCCAGAATAGTTGGCGAATATAGTCCCAGTCCCTAAGAAAGATGGAAGGGTCAGAATATGTATAAACTATAAGGATCTGAACAAAGCATCACCAAAGGATGATTTTCCTCTCCCTCATATTGATATCTTGATCGATAGTGCATCAATGATGGGATACTACTCTATTATGGATGTGTTTGCAGGGTATAATTAGATTCTCATGGCACTATTGGACAAGGTCAAGATCGCATTTTTGACAGAGTTTGGTACGTTTTGCTACCGGGTGATGCCGTTTAGCTTAAAAAACGTTGGGGCTACTTACCAAAGGATGCCAACTACATTATTTCATGACATGATCCACAAGGAGTTAGAAGTTTATATAGATGATATGATTGTCATGACTAAGACACTAGAAGAGCATCCAGCAGCCCTAAAAAAGTTTATGGACAGAGTGATCAAATACAAGCTATGGTTGAACCCGAACAAGTGTGTATTCGAGGTAACTTCTAGGAAAGTGCTAGGATTCATAATAGGACTGAGGGGGATAGAGATTGATCCAGACAAGATTAAGGCAATCTAGGAGATGGAGCCGCCCAAGATAGAAAAGCAAGTGAGAAGCTTTCTAGGAAAAATTCAGTACATCAGTGGGTTCATATCGAAGTTATCTACAGTATGTGATCATATCTTCAAGCTTTTAAGGAAAGATCAGCCAGTAAAGTAAAATAATCACTACCAAATAGCTTTCAATAAAATCAAGGAATATTTGAAAGATCAGCCAGTAAAGTAGAACGATCACTGCCAAATAGCTTTCGATAAAATCAAGGAATATTTGTCAAGTCCCCGATTTTGTGCCTACCAAAGCCAGGAAACCCTTAATCCTGTACTTGACAGTGGAAGATGCTAGAATTGGAGCCATGTTAGCATAAGCTGATGAAGCCGGTGTTGAGAAGACAGTGTACTACCTGAGTAAAAAGCTTCTTCCAAATGAACAGAAATATAACTTGATTGAAAAAACTTTTTTAGTAATCGTATGGGCTACTACAAAGCTTCGACACTACTTTCAGTCTTATAAGGTGATAGCAGTATCGAGGATGGATCCAGTTAAATATTCTTATAAGGTGATAGCAGTATCGAGGATGGATCCAGTTAAATATTTGTATGGGACATCAGCACTAATGGGGAAGCTAGCAAGATGGCTAATCCTGCTGTCAGAATTTGACATTGAATATGCTACGAAGAAAACCGTCAAAGGACGAGCAGTTGTAGATTTTTCAGCAGATCATCTAGTGGAAGACAATGAATAATGGGACATCAATTTTCCTGATGAACATCTGAACTTAATAGAAAAGAAAGGATGAAAGCTTTACTTTCATGGTTCAGCTTACAGCAAAGGAGCTGAGTAGGCGTATTGTTGGAATCTCCACAAGGAGAAGTTATCCTGATGTTGAAGAGATTACAGTTTGCAGTTACGAATAACATGGCAGAATATGAGGCCTGCTTATTTGGGTTTGAAGCTCTAATTGCTGTTAAAGCCGAAGAAGTTGAGGTTATTGGTGATTCAAAACTGGTCATCGAGCATGTAACGGGAATTGGGAAGTTAAAGAAGACAGGTTGAAACCCTATATCAATTACCTGCACATTGTTATTCAGAACTGCAAAGAGTGACCTTCACACAGATGCCTTGGCTAATTTAACATTAGCTTGGGAAGAGATTTCAATTGTGCTAAGAAGCCGTTTATGATGTCTTTGGGCAGCATCAATAAACTCACATCTCTTTTGTTTAATATTTCAGGAAGTAGCTTTTCCTAAATCCCAGCTGAAGCTCTACTTCTTTCACTGTTAAAAAAAAAAGAAAAAAGAAGAATTCTCTAATTTTAGTATTAATTGATTAAATAGATAAATGTACAAAAGCTTATCTGTATATATCTGTTAGTGAACTCGGCAGTTGTAGGATTTGTATACCATTAGTCGTGTATTAATATAGATGAAATAATTCTGTGAGCCCTTATTAGAAACATGGTGTATTGTGAGTTGGGCTAATTTGTAAATGTTTAAGATGTTATAAATTGGGGCCGAATTATAATATGAATATGAGGTTTATTTTCGCATAGTAATATGGCTTAATACTTAGAATTTACATTGATATAATTGAATTTTTTTTGTTAGGCTTACTACAGGCCTCAGGGGTTTTAAGCTTACCTGGACTCTAGTGCCGGTCCGGCCCATGGTTTCGGATCGTGACACAAAATTACCGATTTTCAGAATTTTGGGATAAAATTGTGCTTTACTAGGAAATCATTATTCTTTAACTCATTTTCAATTCCCTTTTATCTTTCAAATTGAATCAGAACTACTTTAATTTCTATTAATTGATATTAATACTCTCCAATTATAATATTTCTCATTATTCCAGATTTCTAGATACTCGGATAACTAAAATCATTCAACAAGCTAGAATAACGAGAGCTGCCAAATTGAGGATTTTACACAATTAAACCCTAATCAAATGTCTTAAGTTATTAATCCCTTAAATGCTAAATCAAAGTGCTAGCTTAAGGAGCTTCTCGTGCTAGTTTCTCATCATTAAAGCTTAAGCTCATTTAACATTTTTCCAATTTAATTTTCATAACAAAATTGGTTTCCATTAAACATCATATCTTATAATTAATAATTCCTCGTTAACAAATTAATGTAATTTCAATTATTCTATCCTTCCAAATAATAATAATTATCATAATAATCAAAATATCTAAAACTGCCAAATTGAGGATATTACGCTTCTTCCTCTACAGATTATTGGTACAGATTATTGGTCCCCAGTCATGGGTAAGAGTGAAGTTGTATCTCAAGTACATTTTAATTAGTTAATATATAGTTAATTAATTTGCAATTTATTTTGAGCAATCTTAATTAATTATTTATTATTGTTTTTGTTTAGGCTTAATAGAAGCCGTGTTACTATTTGGGGGGATTTTGTTATTTTGTTAATATATACAACCAAGACAAAGACATATTAATTGATGAAATTTATGTTGTTGTTTTCAACTCAATATTAATGAAAGAATGTAATGGTACTTTTTATAATTAATTTTTTATATTTTTTATTTTTCCTTTCATTTTTTCCATGTAACTAGCAAAATATTGTCATCCAATTTTATTATTAGGCAAGAATCAACTCAATGGCCCAAAATGCCTCTTCTTGGTTTAATGCTTGTCCTTTCTTATGTACATTACTTACACATTATGTTTAGTCGATGCGGGATTCGCTTAGGGTGTCACAATCCAAATCAAACAAGATTTATATTAATTCGATATACAAAAAATGAAGGAGTTCAAGGAGAAGTGCATATATATAAAGTTACATCTACAATTATATCTATTATTGTTACATCCATAATTCTAAATTTTTGAATTTCAAAATAGGTATGCTGGTGGAAAACAAGCTATAGAGATCTAAAAAAAAAAAAAAAAAAAAAAAAAAAAAAAAAAAAAAAAAAAATATTCTATTGACAAGGCAAAGCATTTTAATAAAAAAAAAAAAAAAAAAAAAAAATATCTATTGACAAGGCAAGCATTTTAAAGAAGAAAAAGAATATTGCAGAAATAATAGCCGATGTAGAAACCAATGAAAAGGTAAGAATACTATTTTTATTGTTAACTTTTTTTTTAGAAGAATAAAATGCCATGTGTATAACAAGAAAAGATTAATTATCATAAGTTGTTAAAAGTTCCTCTTAACTTTACAAATTATATAATTATGATCCTTTTGATCATTAGTAGTTTGTGTTGTTGTTTGACACAAAAAAGAAAGAAAATCCAACAATGGCATAAATTCTGGTTTTTTTTTTAAAATCAATTTCGTAAACACCGATCTGAATAATAATTTTATTTGAAAAATATATTCCATCTCCTTTTTGTTGGGTTACCAAAAGTCACTCAATCGGATTTTGAATATATCATTTTTTTTTTTAATATTTAGGGATTCAAAAGTCAAATTTGGATATTAATATTTTTTTAAGCTTCAATTCAATTACTTCATATTAAATTTATATATTTTTACATTTAAAACTAATTTAAATTTTAATGGACAATTTTTTAAAAAACAAAAATAATACTCATAAATTTACATAAAAAATAATACGATATAAGAACAAATAATAAAACAAATACGGTAAAATTTAAAATAAAACTATATTTTAAAACAACCTAATGCTAGTTATCTCGTATTTACGGTTTCAATTTCAGAAGAATCGTTGGATTGTTTATAAAAATAAATAAAAAAATAAATAATAATGTGATTGGATGGTTGTGGTGTAGTCTAATTTTGGACTTTTGGAGGTTTTTAGCAAAATGGTTCAAAATTGGTTGGCTAGCTGCCTGTCCACAGCCCTACTAAAGCAAAACAAATGGACCCAAAAAATTAAAAATAAAAATCAAATCTTCAATTTCCTTCTAAGATTGCAAATAATGCAATTCCTAATCTTTCTTCCTCCTCAACATTGATTCTCTTGACTCAGATGATACAGAAAGGGTGGACTTTTGCACAGACTCCTCATAACTTTACGTCACCCGGTCTCAATCTTAGCTTCTCTTTAATCTCTTCTTTTTCTTTCACTGTATGGTATTTCTTATGTATTTGCTGAAGAATTTGCAAACAAATCTAGTTCAGTTGTGGAGAATCTGAAACAAACACAGTCCGTTTTTGTGAATCTGTAACAGACCCAGTTCTCTGAATTCTGGGGAATCTTAAATTAAATTCAGTATGTTGGTTCTTTGTCTCTTCTAATGTGTTTCCATTAGAAGCAACAACTGAAGAATCTAGAACAAAGTTTCAATTTCAGATTTGTTTTGCTATGAATTGGTTTAATTCTGCTGGTAATTAGATCTTTTTGCTTCTCCTTACATGTACATACAATTTTGAGTTGCCTGATAAAGCTGTAAATAATAATTGGAAGTATTATGTTGCCTGAGTTGTGTGGTTCAAGCTTGCTTCTAGCTCTGCCGGATGATGTGTTTGCTATTATATCGCGTTCACTTTCTCCGAAAGACATATGTAATCTCAGTCTTTGTTGCCGGAGTTTGTGTACTCTGGTGGCCTCTGAGAAAGTTTGGCTCACCCAATGTGACATGGTAGGAATCCTTCCTCATAAGGATCTTATTGACTGGCGAAAGGGCGTGTCTTCTTACAAAGCTCTTTGTCGCTTCCTTGTTAGCGTTAAACCATTACTTGGAATTTGGGTTCATCAAAACCCTGAGCTAGGTAATGTGGTGTATGTCATGCCTGGTTTTATGTCTGTTGTTGGATGTAGAATAATACCTCAGGAGCTCGGCCCTTTAGGAATTGAGGACGGCCCTATACTATGGTCGCCGGTGTTTGAAATAATAGGGGATCTTGATGGTTCTGTTTTATTCTTTCTACATGGAAGAGAAAACGGAACTGACTATGTTTATCCTGGTTCAGTCAAGCCTGTTGAGCAGAATTGCAATGTATTATTGCTTGAGGTTGAGCCTGGACAACAGAAGAAGGGGAATGTATTATTGCAAAGTAAAAGCTTTGCCTATAATACAGATGAGCAAATTTCAAGAAAGCTTTCTAGGTCAAGTAGTGAATTGCCAAGGTCTCAGAGGATGCTTGGACAGGGCGATGTTAAGGTGCCTTTTAGCCGCTTGGGTTTTAGTGACCGAAGAAAGTTGATTGAGGTTGTCACTACCCATGTTCGCCAAAATGTACCTGATTCAGCAAATGGGCCAGTATTTCCCAGGTTGAGGAGTGATGAGGAAAACTTTGAGAAAGATATGGTATTCTTATTTGAAAGAAGATCTGTGCTTATCCAAATGTATGAGCTTGGTGGGAGTTGTATTGACTGGAAGGAATCTCCTGAACTGCCTTCTGATCCTACACAACTGCAATTGAGAGAGATTAGAAGGAGTATTGATTGTTCAAGTGGATTTCATAGTTCTCTCAATGGGGATGGTCACACAAAATCTATCATGAAGAAAAGTCTTGGTGGGTATTTTAGAGCTAGCTTTAGACAAATTTTGGGGAAGTCTCCCTCTATTAATGGCAGCCGCACACTTTCGAAAAATAATTCTTCAAGCAGTGAGAATAAGCATGCACAGCTTCACGAGTTCTTGAGATCAGGTGACACAATAGGATTGACGCTACATGCATCTACAGTAAGGTTATCTTCTTATCGAGCATGGCCAAATATGCATGATAGTCGGTTTGCCCTGTACAAGTTACCCATGTGGGTTCCGAGAGCTGACCAAGAGTATGCTGGTCTATGGGGGGGAACTTTTGGTTGGCCTCCAGGGAAGCCTACTGAAGATAAGCCTGGAAAAGCTCTCTTTTTTCTTTTGATCTCTTATGAGGAGTCTGATGTGCAGCGGCTGCTCATTGCTACCAAAATATTGGAAGGCACGCACTATGTTCTTCATCCAAATGGCTCAGCAATGTTTATAGCTAATATTGATGAACCATCACATGATCCATTTCCTTGGGATATTGATGCAGATTCCACTCCCGTGAGTGTAAAACATGCATTTGCAGGCGAGGGTATAGCAAATGGATATGGTTTCCGATATCCTGGCTCAAAGCCTGGTTCCCTTTTCGTTATTCAAAATGGTCTTCTTGCCTTCATTTGGAAGGAATCCAGAGCTGTCTTGACCATGCAGAGATTGAACCTGCAAGAGCTTTTGAAAAAGGGTGAACAGGTGCCTGCTCTACCTCCAATTGCCAACTTTTCATATTTGACCAAGTCCTACTCAAATGTGTTTGCTGGCTTCTCAAATGCCTCAACCTGTTTATCATCACCAAGGTTTGCCTTAATACTTTGTATTTCCTGAATATTCTTTTCATTTTTGATCAATTATCTAATGTTCTTAACTTCTTATGCCTTTATCCTTTGATTTATCTATATGTTTGGATATATAATGTTTATTTCCTAATACAACAAATAAATTATTTGATTCGTTTAGCTCTTTCCTCATGCTTGTGCCATGTGGATATCTGTGTGAAGCCCTTAAGATGTTTTACAAAATTTAAACAAAATAAAATTGCAATGCCACTGTAGTTGATAAAGCTGAACCAAGAATTAGTTTTTGGAGGTGTAAAATGATGATAGAAAATGTGGTTCAGTTTTTGAATTGATCAGCAATTTACTGTTTGATGCAAGTCCAATTTAAGGTTGCAAATGAGTTGAGTTGCTTGTGAGCTACTTGGAGTTTGGCTCAGAAAAGCTCACTCGAACTCGTCTTTTGGGGCTCATTTAACAAATGAACAGCCTGAACTAAGCAAAGTTCAGTTCATGAGCGGCTCTTTTATAGGCATTTGAACTAGCTTGTATACGATATATGTATGTATGTGGTTTATGGTATTTTTATTTGTGCCTTTTTATGAATAAATGTACTTTCTAAAAGTTATTTACTAAAAAAAATAATTTTCGATATTGAAGTTTGCACATTTATCATAAAAAAGTATATGTTTTGATAAAATTTTTAGCATATATATATATTGAAGTTTGCACATTTATTCATAAAAAAGTATATTTGTTTTGATAAAAATTTTTAGCATATATATATATTATAATATATATATAAATAGTTAACTTTTAATAGATCTATGAAGTAATTAAAGTTATATCATATAAATGATTAATTATATATATATTAACTTTTGAATAGATCTATAAGTAATTAAAGTTATATCATATAAATTGATTAATGAAAAAAAAAAAAAAAAAGCTAAGCTCAATTAAGATTATTTAGGCTCACTTAATCTTGGTAGCTTTACATGAGGTTGATGATAATTAGCTCAGTTGGGCTAATTTATTAACGAGCCAAGCGTGATGTAGCCAAAGCTTGCCTCCACTTGGCTTATTTGCACTCCTAACGTTTCATATAGAAACAGGTTCTCGGATTATCTTTGGGTTCATTGTTGATATTTCTCATTGCAACCCATGGTCTCAATGCCAATCCTTTGTTAATAAGTCAGTGTTTCTAGTTTTATCATGCATGACCTCATACATCTTCTCCTTACTGTCTTATAGATGACTTGCTGAATCAGGTACTTCAACTAGGTGTCTCTCAGATCTATGACAATTTGGTTAGTGTCTGAATTCAAAAAGATTTGAGCATTCAAAAAGATTTGACAAACTGTTCAGCTATTATTGTGAGAATTCAAAAAGATTTGAGCATTTAGCATTTATATGATACAATTTGGTTAGTGTCTGAATAATAAAGCATGCCTCATCTAGTTTGGCATTGGCTTGTTAAATGTTGATGGCTATAGTTTCTCTTATAGCTTTACAAAGTTCAGTTTACTGATTTTCTGTGCTAACCAGTGGATGAGATGTAACTTAGAAAATTACTTTACAAGATATAAGGAGAGTTTAGTTTTTAGTTATGTTTTATGATGACTGCTACTGTTTCTTGATACTTGTGGAAATGATGAATCATATTGCCACTGACCTTTAATGAAAAATTCTTCATGATTATAATTCTCTACAATTGCTTTTTTGCTAGTTATTTGAGAGGTGCTATTTGTTATTAGCAACATGTTCTCACATGCTCAAGTATGGATATAATTTAAGAAGTACCTCTTGTGTTTGGCTTTCTAAATTTTGTGGAAAATAACCTATACATGGATAATATTTTGAGGAAAAATCTTCGGAAAAAATAACTGATCTTATGTTGTTTATTTGCAGAACTGAAACTAGTTTGCAATTATTTTCTTGCATTGTTTGAAAAATATTCTTTTTCTTTCAACAAATAAGACTTTGGGTTTTGAACCTACAAGAACTTCATATTTTTCTGTTTGTAGCTAAATATGAGAGAAAATTATCCCAAAGACAAAGTTGTGTTGCCACTAGTGGTATGGCAATGATTGTGATGGATAGACATGATCATTAGTGGTTCTGTGGCAGGGTCTCAATCTTCTTAATCTGGACAATGGCTTTCAATCTTTTCAAAAAAATTTTAAAAAAATTCTCCATAAAATAGCTCACTTTTCCCTTTGACAAGAAAAGTGCTTTTCATGGAATAAATTTTCACCACCAAACACTGGAAAATGCTTCCTGGAAGTCACGTTTTGCATCTTAATACAGTTAGGTCCTGTTTCACTGTTAATTTTACGAGGAGCCTCAAATGAATGAAGCATGGATGTCAGTAATCAGAGAAATTCCCTCACAACTGGTTTTATTCATTTAAAAAGAGTATATATTATAAATACTTAGAATGCACTTATTATGACTGCATTGTTCTTTTCAATCATCCACTAACACTATGCCAATCTCAATGAACAAAAAGACAAAACTAAGAATCAGATAGTCTTGTTTGGTGTTAGGAAAGCTTAACCTAAAAAATCTTTTTTTTTTTCCTCCTTATAAAATAAGCCAAATCTGTTTGGTTGTTTCTTCTTTTAACTCCTTTTTGATTTAAGCCTTCTTGAAAACCAAATAGACTTCAACAAAAAGAAAAGCATTAAAATAAGAGATAAGAAGTTTAATTAACATTTTCCCTCAATGACTTTTCCCTTTTCCTTTTGGCTCTCCATTCCATTTACAACTTTCGAAGCTTTTACTATGTTTACTAGATCCAAACACAATTCTCTCTCTCTTGCTGGTTGATATCTTTAATTTTGGTGAAAAGAAAATCGACACACAACAAGGTAAACATTAAATGAAAAACCTCACCAAGCACATTTATAGTGTCTCCCTCGTAACTCTTTGTTTTACGATTCTCTTAAAATGGTTTTTGCTTTGGATTTGCATGCAGCTAGGATTTTGTCTCTTGAAGGTTGAGAATGAATTATAACCTTATGGTTTTATGGGTTATACACTAGCTTTGCTCTTGCCGTGGAGGAGAGAATGAGCTTTGCAGTTTCTACTTAAAAGAGTTACCCTGGGTATCTCATGTTAAAGATACCATGATAATCAAAACATGAAAATATATATGAATTTTTTTAAGACGTCTTGATTTTGCTGTTTGGATATTCATGAAATGTCCATAGAAGGTAATGTTTTCCTGTAATGTGCTTCTGCATAGATTCTAGGTATACTGTTTTACTGTAATGTTACTTGGCAGTATCTAGGGGTTGTTCAGCTTTACTCTGGTAGACATTTATCAATAGCTTCTAAAGTGTGTTTCTCATTGACAGGGAAAGACACTAATACAAAATTTATATGTTTTGAAACCAAAGCACGAGGACCAAAGGGTTGCTGCAGGACCTTTGATATGGTTGCTTATATAAAGTTTGAGCAGGCATTCTCAGTAGCTGTTGATGATCAAATTCCGGTACCCATTTTGTTGTTTTGCTGATGATGAGTGCTTCCCAGTGATGTTCAGTTGTCTAATAAATCATATCTCTCGAATGACAAATGTTAAGGTGATTCTTATGTATTCTGTAATAGAATTTTAATTAGGTTTAGATTATCTTTATGACAATGAACATTGGGTATAAGTATCTCAGTTAAATTAGACGATTCAGTGTACTTAAGATAAGAGATTGAATGAAGCATCTAAAAATGCATTTGAACTATAGAAGAGGAAAAGGAACATTCCTGTACTAATTATTTTATTTTTATACTTATCTGGGGCTGGGGAATGCTCTGTAGTTGTACTCCAAACTACTTATGTTTGGCATTTTTCTTATATTACATACATATCACCAAACACTGTCTGGTGTCATCAGAATGATTTTGGTCACTTGTCTTACAACCAATTATGTATAGCTAGTTTCGTACAAATGTTGTAGAGAAAATTTTATTGAATTTATTTGGAAATCCATACATTTTATCATCATATAAATGAATAATCAGATGCTCTTTCTGTAGTATCAATAAACTCGAAATTTGGAATTCATTTATAAATAAGTTCTAGATAGAATTCGTTTGTAAATGAACATTTTATGTTTCGAATAAATTTAAAATTTAAAATTTATTTGCTGTTATTTTCCAAAATCTCCTTGGCATAGTAATGTTTAGAAGGTTAGGAAAATGGATAGTTTTGTCATGAACTTTGTTTGTTCAAGATTGTGAAGTTTATTTAGAAATCTTATCTTTTTTTTGGTAGAATTTGGTTTAATCATATTCAAATCTATAGAATTGAATTCATAAAACTTAAATCTTTATTTTTTTTTCATACCGAACACAAAAATTTACTTTTATATCATTTAATTTCACAATCTTAATTATGTTTAGTAAAATCCTTCGTAGAATTTACAAAATTCTAAATTAATACGCCGCATGAGGGCCTTGGTTTTCTGGTTTTTGGATGACTATTTTGGCAGTTTGTATTATTGTTTTTTTTTTCCTAAAATTTTGAAAAAGAAAAGATTTATTATAAATTTATTTCTTTTATTATTAATATCTTAAAACAGAAAAGCAGATTCAAAATAAAGCAAGTGAATATTTCCCCATTTTCTCGGTAGGATTTTCAAAACACTAACTTTTGATATAGAAAATGAAAATAAAAAATTAAGGGGGAAAAGTAACCAAACACCCCGGTTAGATTTCCTCTCGATTCTAATTCATTTCCAATGCAGAAGAGGAAAATCAAATTCATCTGCCAAATGAATTCCAAATCCAAATGATTTTGATACGAATGAGGGCCCACGAGCCTTGACAGTAGAAATGTAAATCAGTAAAAATGTAAATTAACAGAGTGTCTTACGAGCTTAACTCGAAAAAAATTTAAAAGATTTGGCTCGAATTAAGTTTGAGCTCAAAATTTTTGAAAAAATTTAAAAAGATTCGGCCCAAATTAAATTTGAGCTCAAAATTTTCAAACTTGGTCTAACAAAATTCTACTTAAATTTAAATCGGCTCATTTACACTTGTACTTAACAATAATATAATTAAATCTCGCATTGGATAATTAGCATATGTTAACGCAGTGCATTATCAAGGCATACGTATGCAAAGCCCAAGTCATAGTAGCACGAAGAAAAAGAAAAAAGTAGTCATCTCTTAGGGGGTTATTCAGGCATGGGACTCAATTGTCTAAATATTGTACATATATAAGTTATTTAGATTTTGTATAGACTGACATCACTGTACATTCTAGAATATTTCTTGTTTGACGTGCATTCCACTACAAATAAGATGTGAATCTATATAAATAAACCGAATTGCTTAACTCTATTCAAATAATCTTGTGTCCCCATTTCTTTTTCAATTCTCTAATTTCTTATATTTCTTTCATATACTTTTCATATTTGTTTTTTCCTCTCCTGAACTCTTCTTATTCTCATCCCATTTTTTTTGGACTAAACAGACTCTGACCACTTTATCCACCCATCCCAAGGCACTTCTGATAGGCTCAAAAAAATTTCAAATTGAAATCCTTTTATAAAAAAGTAATCGAGAATTTCTTGGATTACTGAACATCAACAAATACACAATGAATTAAAGGATTATTTGACTAAGCCTCCAGTCATGCGTCCGTCTCAATCAGGAGAGCCACTTAATCTGTATATAGTAGTAGCACATGAAACTATAGGAAGTATATTGGCTCAAAAGCAAAATGTATCCAAACGAACAGTGAATTTCCTATCAAGGAACTATTATCGGCTGAAACTAGATACTCGACATTTAGGAGTTATGCTTATGTTTATGCTATTCTTTGTAAAAAGTTATGATACTCCATACTAACTGTAACTATTAATATTATATGAAAAACAAACACTTTAATATATATCTTGACTAAACCGTTTTCAAAAAAAAAAAAAAAAAAAAAAAAAATATTTTAGATATCCTCTATACTAACTTATTGTGTCTATTAATATTATATTTGAAAAAACAAACACTTTAATAGTATATCTTGACTAAACCGGTTTTCAAAAAATAAAAAAAAAAAAAAATTAGAAAAATGGACTTAAAAAAAAAAAAAAAAAAAAAGAATAGAAAAATGGATTGTGGTCTTGTCAGAATTTACTTTTAATTATGTCCTTTAGAAGTCCATAAAGGGATAGTGTTGGCTAATTTTTTAGCAAATCATCGAAGACATCGATCTAAATAAAATAAGTTGTATTCTCAATAAGCTATGGCAGCTTCGATTCAATGACTCAAACACTAAAGGTTTGACTGATACTGATATCATCCTGATATCACCAATAGGGATGCTAATAAGAATGGCATTCATGCTAGGATTCTCATGCACCAATAACCATGCCAAATATATGGGGTATTAATACTTGACCTATAAGTATTGACAAAGTTGGGGGCACAGGAAGTACACTTCCAAGGAGATTCATTGCTAGTAATCAGACAGCTAGAAGGGGAATACAAATGTAAGTTTGAGTCACTTCGATCATATTTGAATAAAGTAAGGCATCTCTTAGAAGGATTCTATTGCTACTAGTTGGAATTCACTAAACGTCCTCCAATTCAGCTGCAAATGAGCTGGCCCAATATGCTTCTAGGTATTTGGCAAAATTTTGTTAATTCTTGTTAAGTATCGATCAAATTTGATATTGATCTCAAGGGAAAATTCTAGTCTCTGGAACCAAGACCAGTTCCTTGCTCTTGACTTTAACAAAGACTGGAGACAACCAATTATAAGCTAGATACAGAACCCTACCATTATTGGCAAAAGGATGGACAATTATACATGAGGCACTTTGATGGTGAACTACTAATATGTGTCAGTCTTAAAGAGGTAATGTTATAATGGCTGAAGTGCACGAAGGGGTGGCAGGAGTGCATCGGTCAGGAAAAACAATAAGGAAACTACTAGTCAAATATGGATACTGGTGGTCGAAAATGGAAGAGGATTGTCACAAATATGCTAAGGGATGCAAATTCATGCCAAAAGCATAGACCAATTCAAAATTCTCCTATTATAGAATTGTGGTCAAACCTTAGCCATTAAGAGAAAGTGCAATAAATGTCATTAGATAATTTTACCCTCCATCTTGAAGCAAGACTTATTCATATTAGTGGCCATTGATTACTTTCCTAAATAGGTAGAGGCCATCCTTCTAAAGCTAAGTAGTAATAAAATTTTTCAAAGAAAACATTTTCATAGACATGGAATGCTTGAAAATATTGCGACCAACCAAGGCACAACCTTTATGGAGGAAGAAATTCAGGAATTGGCTAGAAATATGGTATCCGTATGATTTCATTAACTCCATATTACTCTCAAGATAATGGACAGACCAAATTGATTACAAGTTGATTAAAAGATTAATACAACGGTCGACCAAAACCTTAGAGCTTGGCACGATCTATTATAAGAATTCTTGTGGGCAATTCAGACTGCAATTGCAACAAAAAAAAAAAAAAAAAACATTTGCAAAAATTACTTGAAAATGCAACAAATTACTTGAAGAAAGAATTTGAAATGAAAGACCTTGGACAAACAAGATTTATCCTAAGCTTGAAAATCGAGCATTTAAAAAATGAAATTTTATTCATCAATCAACTTATATAGAAAAAGTTTTAAAGCGATTCTATATGGATAAAGCACATCCATTGAGTACCCCAATAGTTGTAAGATCACTAGATATGAGCAAAGATTATTTTTGTCCTGAAGATAATGATGAATAAATTTTCAATCTTGAAGTATCATATCTTAGTGCTATTAGAGCAATAATGTATCTTACTAATAATACACAACTTGATATTGTAAATTTAAGCAATATTTAGTTCGTCTCTAATTAAGAAGATATTGAAATAGAGTTGAACATATACTTCGATATCTTTTAGGAACAATTAATATATGGGATTATTTTATTCAAATAAATCTGAATTGCAGTTAATCAGTTATGCAGATGTAAGATATTTTTCTGATCCACATAAAACTCGATCTCAAATAGGTTATTTATTCACATGTGGAGGTACAACCATACATTGGCGTTCTATAAAACAAACTTTAGCTGCGACCTCTTCAAATCATGCAAAAATAATAGCAATGCATGGGGGCTAATCGAGAACATGTTTGGTTAAGATTATTGACCCATCATATTAAAGAAACATATGGTTTACTTTTAGAGAAAAATGTTCAACAATATTGTCTGAGATAATGCAGTATGCATAGCTCAACTAAAAGGAGGGTATATCAAAGGAGATAGAGCAAACTTTAGATGCTACCTCTTCAAATAATGTAGAAATAATAGCAATGCATGAGGCTAGTCAATGTTTGGTTAAGGTTGTTGACCCATCATACCAAGAAAACATGTGGTTTGTCTTTAGAGAAAAATATTCCAACAAATTTGTGTGAAGATAATGCAACATGCATAGCCCAACTAAAAGGAGGGTATATCAAAGGAGATAGAGCAAACTTTAGATGCTACCTCTTCAAATAATGTAGAAATAATAGCAATGCATGAGGCTAGTCAATGTTTGGTTAAGGTTGTTGACCCATCATACCAAGAAAACATGTGGTTTGTCTTTAGAGAAAAATATTCCAACAAATTTGTGTGAAGATAATGCAACATGCATAGCCCAACTAAAAGGAGGGTATATCAAAGGAGATAGAGCAAACTTTAGATGCTACCTCTTCAAATAATGTAGAAATAATAGCAATGCATGAGGCTAGTCAATGTTTGGTTAAGGTTGTTGACCCATCATACCAAGAAAACATGTGGTTTGTCTTTAGAGAAAAATATTCCAACAAATTTGTGTGAAGATAATGCAACATGCATAGCCCAACTAAAAGGAGGGTATATCAAAGGAGATGAGAGATATCCG